TACCTTGCTATTTCCCAGCTTACCTAGCTAGAAACAAAGGATACACTGAAATTTACTGCCAGATAAAACACAGTGCTAAAGGAAAGATTCATGAGTGTTAGAATTGACACTATCACAGGTCTTGTCACCTCTGAGGAACATTTTGACAGTATAAAACGTACAGTTAGGAAGCAATCTCCAGTAAGTATTTCGTACAACACGTCATACAGAAATACCCAGAGACAGAAGATATGTTCCAGAGAACAGGCAACATCAAAATGTCATACCAAGAACACATGAAATGCAGAGGCAAAGTCTCCTGTCATTTTCAAGCAGCTGAAGTTGCAACAAGCTGCTGTGACATCACGTAAAGAGGCTTTAGCCAGGAGAGAAAAAAAACAGGTGGAACCAACAGAAACCAAGTACCCTGGGAGATCCTAAGCCATCCTCAGACATACACAAGACTGTTTTTGAGCACTCACTTTTAGGTCTCTCAGATCAGTAAAATGTTCAACAAACTGAGTTAACAGTGTGATACTTTCTCTTTTGCCTTTGAACACATGTTCAAAGAAAGTCTTCTGCCACTATACTTTTCATCAAGACAACCATCATTTCCTTGTTAAAACCTCAACTGCCCCATATTAGCTAATTTCTGATACCTTGCTGGCCCAAGAGTTGCACTTTTATCTTTAGACTAAAAAAACCTAGCGTGTACAACTTAAGAGACCATTTACACAATTACTCATGTAATCAAACTCAGAAGTGCAACACCAACCAAGTCTTTTACTGCTGATCTGGAACTACCAGGATGGTATCTGGAATTATCTATTGAGGTGCAGTGAGGCCTCAGAATTAAACAGTCGAGTCATAGAATGCTCTAAAATCCCAGAAGTCAAAGTCACAGTATAACTCAGTTGTGCTGGGCTTAGTTGCTCTGTTGTGTCTGACTCTTTGCAATCCCATGGACTGTAGCCTCCTGGGCTCTTCTGTCCATGGAGAGTCTCCAGTAAAGAACACTGGAGTGGGTTGCCATGCCCTCCTCCAGGGGATCTTCCCAACCCAGGGATCGAACCCAGGTGTCCCGCATTGCGGGCTGATTCTTTACCATGTGAGCCACCAGGGAAGCCTGTGAATACTGGAATGGGTAGCCTATCCCTTCTCCGGGGGAATCTTCCTGACCCAGGGATTGAACCAGGGTCTCCCGCATTGCAGGTGGATTCTTTACCAGCTGAGCTATTACTCACTTAGCTATATAATAAAAATCAAACTGGCATCCTGGCTGGGAGGCCCTAGAAAAGCCACAACTTCTCACAGTTGCATTTTTTTTTGGTAAATTGCATTTTTATTTGTAAACTGAGGGATGTAGACTAAGGTTCCTTCGAGCTCTGAAAGTTTAAGATCTCTGATAACTCAAGATTTCGCGGAGAAAAAAAATAAAAGAGTCAGCAAATGAGAGCACTTAGGTGAAAACCCAATAAAGCAGTGAATTGCAGGTCTATATATATGTATATAGAGCGCCCCCAGCTCTTATGCACGGAAGCCTTTCTAAGGCTTGATCCCAAGAGTCCAGACTTCTGCAGTATAACAAAACAGCTATGCTCAAGACATTCATACACCAGGAGAACCAACATAAGTGTGCCTTGAAGAAGTGAAAAAGACCAAGGCTTTACTCTGTAACAGAATGGTCACAACTCCCTTTAAATATGGGGGTGGCCATGCCCTGCCAGCCCCCAAATTTCCAATCTCAGTTCCCCCCAACACCATACCTACCATCAAAGGGGTAGGACCAAGTATTTAAGCAATGGCGTACAAAGCAAGCTTTCGATAGGAAGGGGCTCTGTGCCAAAGAAAGGCAGAAGAGACCAGGTAAATGTAGAAGAGCACAACTTTTGCGTCAGTGAGTCCAAGGAAAAGAGACTTATTTACATCCATCCTACTCAAACTGAGGTAAAGGCACAGTGGTGACAATGACAGTTTGACTGGAAGGCACTGGTACAGAAGCACTGAGAACAAGGTCCTCCCACTGGAGCGGTAATAATGCTCGACCCAAGAAAAAAGGTTGTGTCTGCCAGCCACACGAGGTTGGTCTGCGTGCATATCACCAGCAAAGGCGGGGAGAACAAACAGGTGTCTGCCACGCTCCCTGGAACCACCAGTCTAGGACTATGCTTTACCCGCACTGTGCTTGAAACACTAGTTAACTGCAAATGTCAAACCCTTTCTATAATTTTCTTCTCATAAATAACTCGGGCAGGCTGGCCACAAACTGCTCTTAGCCAGTTAAAAGATTTTCACTGATATTCACCTTAACAAAAGATCACAGGTTCCAGGAGACATCATTTATCATGTAAATAATCCCGGGCAGGTGTATTAACGGTGGAAACCGCCCCCCAGGAAGGAACTAACACTTTTCCATCGGCTCTTCTTTATTCTAGGTTCGTTCGAGAAGCAAGGTTCTCATTCTGTCTCCACATGGGGGAAGGGGTATTCAGGATGGGGACATCATCATATTGGACTCCTCCAGCCAATTCTATCAAATTCCACAGCGTGCCTCCCCATCCCACTAGATTCAGCCACAAAGAGGCAGGGCCAGCCAGGAAACAAGGGCTGTGGCTGGAAATTGCAAATAAAATGCAAAACTGTACTCGAACCCTCCTGCAACATAAGCAGCGCAAAAGTTGGAGTATGGTTGGACTGCATCATGCTCTGTCAGGTGAAACGAAGACCTGGGATTCTAGGTTGCAAGCATTCCAGGCAAATTTGTAACAACAAAAAAAGAGCATGGTGTGTACTGGCAAGAAAGCCATAGAGGGTTTCCTCAAGCTGTTAGGACACCATGACTTCAGATGCCGCCAGGTACTTTGCAGACAAACTATATTCTAGAGGCTGTGCAGGTTAAAGGGATAGGGGTATGATGGAACGGCTCACTGGAGGGGCACCTGAGGCAGCTAACGCACTGCCAATGATGTGAAACAAAATAGAGCCCTTGCCGGTCACATCTGAAGCTCAGATGTACAAACCTTGGAATCTTCGTTGAGGCTTGTGTATCTGTGTGTGCAGACAGGAATGCACCTCAGTGATCAGCCCCCTCGCTGACATGCCACGAATGGGTGTTCTGTGGCAACTTATTCAATCAACTCTACACCTCTGAAACTGACTGTGCCCTTTAAGGTTCTGATACATCCATGTAAAAAATGAAAGCAAATGTTTCCTAGGTTCCAGGACTAGGATTTAGAAGTCCTTCAAAGCCCATAAATAAATCTATTTCCCTAAATCCCTAGTGGAAATTCCCAAAAGACCTAAAACTAAAAACCAGATTTAAAAAAAAAAAAAGAAAGATTCAGCATATTTCAAAGGACCCAAGAGGTTAATGGCATTCTTAGTTGAAATCGTTCAGATGCAGATGAAAATTCTGACAGTGGAACCCAAATTTCTCCTGGATAGCAACTGCCTGTTAATAATGATTTTTGCTACCAAGGCCCGAATTGGCTTCATTTTCGTAATGTAACAAAATGCCTAAAACTTGCCAGAGTCCTCAACTCTTAAGCCACTCAGACTCACAGGCCAGTAGGTTCGGTTCTGTGATCACCAACCACCCACAGAATTCTAGGCTACCATCTCACAATTTGGGGCACTGATCGGCACAACAGAGACACAACTCTGAATGGCTCTGCAGCCCGTTCCTGTTCCTGGAAAAACGAGAAGCACACATCTGCCTGACCATGAGTCAGGAATATCAATTTTGTGGTGGAGCCCATTTCGGCTGTGACCAATCCTCACCGAACACAGTCACAGTAGAAGCGACGGCCACAGAGGTGTATTCCACAGCCAGCTTCCCCCCTTGGAATCCACACTCAGCAAGGCCATGAACGGTATCCTCTGTGAAAGCAATCTTTTAAACTCTTCACCATGACCTTAAGTCTTCAGTGCAAAACCACAAAAAACATTGCCACGCCACTAATCAGTCACCTGAGTTTCAGTCAGGGTGACTCAGAAGCAAACTAGAAAGAAAATAAACTTTCAGGGATCAAGTGATGGGCACCCCGGCGATGCGGTGAACTTGCCCCATCTGGTACTGGTGATCTTGAGGCGGGCGCGCTCCGGGACTATGGAAGCCCGTCACAGACTGAGTCCCACTTCACTTATGTAACTGGAAGATCGCTGGCGAAGGGGGGCGGGCGGGGGGAGGATGGGAGGGCGCTCGTATTCTAAGGCCATGGCCCCCACAAACGCCCTGGGGGCGCGCTCCCATCGAAGAGCTTCGGGTGCTGCCGGACACCCTGTCCCCTCCCCAAGGCTCCTGATGGCAACTATCACCGCCTCTTTCTGATGAGCTCTGGGGCCAAGAACACAATGTCTAGTGCCTTTTGTGGGTGGACAATAATTCCCACCTACTTGTTCCTGCTAGATGCGAAAGGAACTCGCTCGCGGCGGGGGCGGGGGGGGGCAGAAAGTCATGGAATGGGCGAGAAGGAGGGGGAGGCAAAGCCTGGAGATGGGGGCGACAGCCCAGGAGCCCTTGTGGCGCACTCTCCCGACGGGAGGCGAACTGCGCACGCGCGCCAGTGGGGGGGCCGAGTAACGGGAGAGGGGGCGCGCGAGGGAGGGAGACGGGAAAGCGCGAGCCAGGGAGAGGCCGGGGGCGCGGGCGCGCGACGGCGCCGCGGGCCCGAAGCCCCGCGAAGGGCACGACGCGCGCGCAGCCCCGACAGGCGAAGCCCAGGCGACAGGGGCGCCCACGGGGCCGGGGGGCCGGGATGCGCGCCGAAGGCGGGAGGGCGGGGGGAAGCAGGCAAAGACAGCCTGAGGAGGCCGCGCCGAGGACGGTCACCCGCAAGTGCGGGTAACGGGCCGCGGGGGGGGGGGGTGCCGTCACCAGCGGGAGGGGGAGGGTAGAGAGGAGGGACGCCATCCGCCAGCCGTGTCGCCCGACCCCGCGGGCCCCTCCCGCGCCACGTCCCGCCCCTACCCCCCGCCCCCCAGCAAGGGTCCCCGCCCGCGGCCGCGGCGGTCCCACTCACAGTCTCTCCTCCTCGCCTCCTCCTCCTCCTCCGCTCGGCGCGGCAGCGGCGGCGGCGGCCATTTTCCGGACGGCTTTTACCACAGCCCTCTCTCCGAGAGGAGGGAGCGCGCGCGCCGCCGACGCCGAGACCCCGCACGGCCGACGTCGCGCCCCGCCCTCCCGGCCGGCTTGCGCGCAGCTGCACCTGCGCGCCTGCGCCCCGCCCCCGGTGCCTGAGCGAGCCGGCGCTCCATTGGATGCGGCGGCCAGGGTGGGGCGGGGCCTCGGTGGCGGCGACCCCAATTGGCGAGACTCTGTGTCCGTTCTGGCGAGGGAAAAGGGGGCGGACGCCCCGTCTAGCTGCCGATTGGCTGCCAACGGCCGTCATTTGGGGAAAAGAGGAGGCTTGGGCGCTGAGGGGATGGTTTAGTGGGCGGAATTTGAATATTAAGGATTAATAGGCCTTTGCGGATGCTGGGGCCAAGCGACGGCCTAGGCTCCAGACGCCTGTTTGAGCGACCATCCTGGGCCCTTGACCTGCTGTCCGCAAACACACAAACTACATTGCTATAAGCCTCCCGCAACAGCCACATTTTCTCAGTATCACCACCTTCAGTACAAACAGCAAAGTTGCCTTACATTGTTCCAGACAAGAGACCTTGGTTTACGAGGCCTACCCAAGGCGTTCTTTCATTTGAGCCTACCGTGTGCCACACTCTCAGAGGGGCAGGGAATAAATTGAACAACGAATTGTAGCCTTGACCTTCTTGCAACTCTGGTGGGGCAAGAAGGTGCATGCCAAGGCTTGCACGAAACCTGTCATGGTTGGATGAGATGGTTTGGGGTGAGTGGACAGAGCGGGCAGTGGGAACACAAAGAAGTCAGCGCTCGGCCCGGAAGAGGTGATTGGGGATCCCACAACGCTGGTATAGAAAAATATTTAAGAGTATGAAAAAAGTTTTAGCTAATGGGGGCTTCCCTTGTGGCTCAGCTGGTTAATAATCCATCTGCAATGCAGGAGACCTGGGTTCCATCTTGGGGTTGAAAAGATCCCCTGGAGAAGGGAAAGACTACCCCACTCCAAGTATTCTGGCCTGGGTGAGGTCGCAAAGAGTCAGACGCGACTGAGTGACTTTCACTTCACTTCACTTTAGCTAATGGAGTGTTCAGGATAGGACTGTCTGTCAAGGCAACTTTACTCTGATTCCAGCTATCATCCAATACATCCAATGCTCTTTTTGCTACTTCTCCAGTTAAGAAGGAACCTTCTGATGTGACTCCCTACCCCACCCCCATTCATTTATTAAATCCATGTTATGTACCAGGCACTGTTACAGGCTCTGGATGCAGAGTACTGAAGAAGACACCAAATTAACATTCTTGTAGGGGAAGATTCAGAGTGAACATACAAAAACTATAAAATAAAATGTCATAGTGATAAGAATTTGGGGTAGATAAAGCAACGGTGAAAGGGGTGCTATTTAGATGTCCACTGGCTTTTGCTCTCATTTTATTCCCCCATAGGGTTATCTATGACCAGTGTCTTCTCCTGGCAAAACTCTGTTAGCCTTTGCCCTGCTTCATTTTGTACTACAAGGCGAAAATTGCCTATATCTCTTGACCTACTTTTGCATTCCAATCCCCTATGATGAAAAGGACATCTTTTTCTGATATTAGTTCTAGAAGGTCTTGTAGATTTTCATAGAACTTATTGACTTCAGCTTCTTCAGCATTAGTGGTTGGGGAACAGACTTGGATTACTGTGATGTTGAATGGTTTGCCTTGGAAACAAACAGAGATCATTATGTTGTTTTTGAGATTGCATTTCTAACTCTTTTGTTGACTATGAGGGCTGCTCCATTCCTTCTAAGGGATTCTTGTCCACAGTAGTAGATATAATGGTCATCTGAATTAAATTCATGCATTCTGGTCCATTTCAGTTCACTGATTCCTAAAATGTTGATATTCACACTTGCCATCTCCTGTTTGACCACACCCAATTTACTTTGATACATGGACCTAACATGCCAGGTTCTTATGTAAGACTCTTCTTTACAGCATCGGATCTTACTTTCACTGAAATCAGATTGATTATATTCTTTGCAGCCAAAGATGGAGAAGCTCGATACAGTCAGCAAAAACAAGACCTGGAGCAGACTGTGGCTCAGATCATGAGCTCCTTATTGCAAAATTCAGATTTAACTTGAAGAAATTAGGGAAAACCACTAGGCCATTCAGGTATGATCTAAACTAAATCCCTTATGCAGTGGAAGTGACAAATAGATTCAAGGGATTAGATCTGATAGACAGAGTGCCTGAAAAACTATGGATGGAGGTTTGTAACATTGTACGGAGGCAGTGACCAAAATCATCCCAAAGAAAAATACAAGAAGGCAAAATGGTTGTCTGAGGAGGTCTTAAAGACAGCTTAGAAAGGAATAGAAGTGAAAAGCAAAGGAGAAAGGGAAAAATATACCCAACTGAATGCAGAGTTCCAAGAACAGCAAGGAGAGATAAGAAAGCCTTCTTAAGTGAATAATGCAAAGAAATAGAGGAAAACAATAGAATGGGAAAGACTAGAAATTTCTTCAAGAAAATTGGAGATACAAAGGGAATATTTAATGCAAACTTGGGCACAGTAAAGAACAGAAATGGCAAGGACTTAATAGAAGCAGAAGAGATTAAGAAGCAGCAGCAAGAATACACAGAAGAACTGTACAGAAAAGGTCTGAATGACTCAGATAACCACAATGGTGTGGTCACTCACCTAGAGTCAGATATCCTGGAATGTAAAGTCAAGTGGGCCTTAGGAAGCATTACTACAAGCAGCTAGTGGAAGTGATGGAACTCCAGCTGAGCTATTTCAAATACTAAAAGATGATGCTGTGAAAGTGCTGCACTCAATAAGTCAGCAAATTTGGAACACTCAGCAGCGGCCACAGGACTGGAAAAGGTCAGTTTTCATTCCAATCCCAAAGAAAGGCCATGCCAAAGAATGTTCAAACTACCGCAAAATTGCACTCATTTCACATGCTAGCAAGGTAGTGCTCGAAATCCTTCAAGCTGGGCTTAAACAGTACATGAACTGAGAACCTCGAGATTTTCAAGCTGGATTTAGAAAAGGCAGAGGAACCAGAGATCGAATTGTCAACATCCGTTGGATCATGGAAAAAGCAAGAGAATTCCAGAGAAACATCTACTTCTGCTTCATTGACTATGACAAAGCCTTTGACTGTGTGGATCACAACAACAAACTGTGGAAAATTCTTCAAGAGATGGGAATACCAGACCATCTTACCTGACTCCTGAGAAACCTGTATGCAGGTCAAGGAGCAACAGTTAGAACTGGACATATAACAGTGGACTGGTTCCAAATTGGGAAAGGAGTACATCAAGGCTGTATATTGTCACCCTGCTTATTTAACTTATATGCAGAGTACATCATGCAAAATGCCGGGCTGGATGAATCACAAGCTGTAATCAAGATTTTGGGGAGAAAGATCAACAACCTCAGATACACAGATGATACCACCCTAATGGCAGAAAGTGAAGAGGAACTAAAGAACTTCTTGATGAGGGTGAAAGAGGAGAGTGAAAAGCCTTGCTTAAAACTCAGCATTCAAAAACTAACATCTTGTCATCCAGTCCCATCACTTCATGGCAAATAGATGGGGGGAAAGTAGAAGCAGTAACAGATTTTATTTTCTTGGGTTCCTAAATCACTGTGGATGGTGACTGCAGCCATGAAATAAAAAGATGCTTGCTCTTGGAAAGAAGGCTATGAGAAACCTGTGCGTGTTAAGTTGCTTCAGTTGTGTCCAACTCTTTGAGAACCTATGGGCTGTAGCCCACCAGGCTCCTTTTTCCATGGGATTCTCCAGGCAAGAATACTGGAGCAGGTTGCCATGCCCTCCTCCAGGGGATCTTCTCGACCCAGGGAGCAAACCCATGTTTCTCATGTCTCCTGCATTGGCAGGCAGGTTCTTAATTCCTAGCACCACCTGGGAAGCCCTATGACATATCTAGACAGCGTATTAAAAAGCAGAGACATCACTTTGCCAACAAAAGTGTAGAGTCAAAGGTATAGTTTTTTTAGTAGTCGTGTATAGATGTGAGAGTTGGACCCTAAAAAAGGCTGAGTGCCAAATAATTGATGCTTTGGAACTGTGGTGCTGGAGAATAGTCTTGGGAGTCCCTTGGAATGCAAGGAGATCAAACCAGTCAATCCTAAAGGAAATCAACCCTAAATATTCATTGGAAGGACTGCTACTGAAGCTGAAGCTCCAATACTTTGGCCACCTGATGCAAAGAACTGACTCATTGGAAAAGACCCTAATAATGGGAAAGAATCAAAGCAAAAGGGGAAGAAGGTGGCAAAGGATGAGATGGTTAGATAGCATCACTGACTCAATGGACAAGTGTTTGAGCAAACTCTGGGAAATAGTGAAGGACAGGGGAGCCTGACATGCTGCAGTCCATGGGGTTGCAAAGGGTCAGATACGACTTAGTGACTGAACAACAACAATTCCAATCATAAACAGAAAAGAAAGAAGTTCCTTCAAACTTACTTTATGAGACTAATATAATTACTATAACAAACCAATGAAAGGATGACACAAAATATGAAAATGGATGTAAAAATTCTAGACAAACCGAATCCAGCAGTATATATTGATATATCCTAACCAAGCTGAGTTTTATTCTAAGATTGCCAGGATGGTTTAAAATTAGAAAATCAGACTTAACAAATTTAAGGGAAGCAAATTATATGACCATGTCAATATATGCAGAAAAAGCCTTTGATAAAATTCAATACTTACTTATGATAAAAACAAAACTAACAACAACTTAGAGAACTATGAATAGAAGGGAATTTTCTTAATCTGATCAAAATCACCTATTAAAAAACTTAAAGCAAACATCATGTTTAATGGTGTTAATTGGAACAAAGCAAGAAACAGAAGATTTTTGGTGCAACATCATTCGTGTAAAATAAAACACACATCCTTCACCACCCGTTCTCTTTTAAACCTTATCCTTGGAGTTTCACTGTGATGAGAAAGACCCATTAACCCCAAATAGATTCCCTTGCTGTTAGGATGCAGGCATACAGATCCAGCCAGTAACAAGCTGGAAAAGAAATGGGGAAAAAAGCATTCAACTTAGGCTACAAAAATTATAAAACAGTTTGGAGTAAACAATAAAACATGCCAAAAAAACTATATTAAAAATTATAAAACTTTACTGAAAAAAATAAAGTAAAACTTTACTGAAAAAAAAGAAGACCTGAAAAAATAGAAACTACCACAGTTCTGGAAAGGAAGA